CACAGGCGGGTCTGCAGGCTGGGGGCTGGGAGTGGCGGGGACAAAGCAGCCTTCGTGCCCACGCCACCCCCGCCCCGGTGCCCCACCGCCCCGCAGGCACCCCAGCCAGTGCTCAGTGCCTCCACGCCCGGCTCCGCGCCCACAGGCCTCAGGAAGAGCTGGGGCACGGGGAAGCCGCCAGCCCCACATCTGTCCTGCACTGGGCCCCTGGGCTGCTCACTGGCCCTGCCCTTGCTCAGAGTAGCCGGCCTCAGGCTTGGCGGGTAGGCCTGGGCCCCGGCCTGTCTCTTGCCCGTCCGTCCGCGGGTTCCGGTGTGGAGGGAGCTCCCGGGCACCTGCCGGTGGAGCCGGCAGCACGCGGCGGCGAACCAAGGGAAGTGGGCAGTGGGATCTCGGCCCCACAGGAGGGCACGTCTCTGTGGCCACGGGCTTAGTGTCCGGCCACCCTCCCCTCTGGCTGACGGCAGGGCCTGCCTCTGGAGCTTCCCGGCACAGGCCATCCATGCCGGAGCCGCCTGCCAGGGTTTCCCAGGGCCTGCCTGTCAGTTCACCCGGTAGCCCACTGGGCAGCGGGGAGATGGACGGCCCCCCCCGCCTCCCCTCGCCCAGCCTCCCCCTGCCCACCTCACCACTGGACAGCCACCTTTGCCTGGTGGGCCCTGTCCTGGCATGAGGTGAGGGAAGTTTGCGCTGTTTTGCCAGCACAAGGGGGGCTGCATGGGTCCACTCCAGCGTGGGCGAGACCATGGGGCCCAGGAGGGTGGTGGGCCTCCCTCAAACACGAGCCGGCTGGGGATGGGGCAGAGCCGGCTGGGGACTGACTCTCCACCCCAAACATTCACGAGGCCCTGGTCTCGTGGGGATCCCAGAGCCCCCAATGCCTGTGACCCGCTGGGTGATCCTGGCCAGTGTCGGGCCTTGTGAGACCTTCCTCTCCGTGCATGGAGGGATGAGTGTGGCTGGGAGCCTCTGAGGGCCCCCACGACAGGACTCAGCGAGATGGCCCTTCTGTCTGCTCGGCTTGGACCCCTGTCCTCACCAGCCTGAGAGCCACTCATCTCTGAGGACTGAGGACTGTCCCAGGGACGGGGCCCACGTTTAGCCCGTCCGGTCCTCGGGGCTGGTGGCCCGACCCCAGCTGTCTGACCCTCAGGCTCCCCGCAGCCTCTGAGCCCCAGACCAGGCCCACCCGCGGCAAGCCTGAGGGACACCCCTGCCTCCAACCTTCTTCCCGGGCCCCTGGCAGCAGGAAGCAGGGGCCTCGAGGGCGCCCAGTCCTCCCCTCCAGGCTCCTGCCGAGAATGGATGCGTAGAAAGGGTCGACCTCTTTGCTCGCCCCGGCCTGTGGTGTCCAGGTGGAGTTTGCTGGCCACTGGGGGCTGACACCGGCCCCAAGACCACCGCACTGTGTGTGGGCTCCCAGGGCCCCTCTCCCGGCTCTCCCGTGGGCGGATTCCTGGGAGCTCGGTCACCAGCCCCGTCCCAGGGCCTTGAGCCACAGCCGGACCAGCCATCAGGGGAGGGGGTGGCCCCAGCCAGGATCATAGCCCTGCCCACGGGTGGCATCGGCCACGCCCCATCTGCAGCCACACATGCGGACTTATGGCCCAGGGCCCATCTCTCTGGGGCAGTGTGCGATCCAGAGCGGGCCACTGTGGCCCCCCGAATCAGTCCGAGCCGGGGGGCGGGGGTGCCAAGCCCCAGGCCGTGCTCAGGGGCCATCAGTCACTTAATCCTCCATCCGGGAATGAACGCTTTGCCAGATTTCCCAGGAAGCAGCCTGAGACCCAGAGAGGGCAGGTAACAGCCCAGGCCTGGCTCCCTCGAGACGATGTGGCAGACGGTCCTGTCACTGTTCTTCCCCAGGTGAGGAGGCCGGGGCTCATGCAGGTGCAGGGGCCCCGGAGCAGCCGGACAGCAAAGAGGCCTCAGGAGGGCCAGACTGTCTGTGGCCCCGGGGCCCCTCGCTTCTTCCTGTCAGCTCGCCGAGCCCAGAGCGCGTCCTTCAGCCGGGCCCAACCTGGGGTGCACCGGGGGCTCGGGGCCGGGAGGCTGGGAAGGTGTTTCCTCCTGCATCCGCCCGCGTCCCCTGGGCTTCGTCATGCCCATCACCGCCTGTACCTCGGGGTATGGACAGCTGGGAGCTCACTCTCGGGGCGGGGCTAGAAGTGGGCAGCCGCAGCTCATGAAAAATTAAAAGCTCAGGCGGCTTCCTGTTCTCCCCGGCCCTGCAGGCTCGGTCCACGTGGCCACGTCCGCCAGCCTTTGTCGCCTCCATCCTCAGGCCGCTGGCTGCTGGCCACCGACCGCCTTGGGGGCTGTCCTGATGGGTGTCTGCAGCTGCCCCACAAGGGGACAAGGGCCGGCCAAGGAGTGACTAGGGTTCCACTTCTCAGGAGCAGGGGAGGGAAGCGACGGTGTCTGGGGCCCAACAAGCCCCAGGTTGGCGGTCCTGACCCCGCGGGCCCAGGCAGTGGGGGACGATCGGGAAAAGCTCCCGTGCAGTAAGGGGCTGGCAGGAAGCAGGGGCCGGGGCCGGGTGGGGTTAGGGTCGGGGTGCCAGGGAAGGAGCTGGAGGCCCCCTGGGTTTTCCCGACAGAGAGAGCGGGAAGGACCTAGGGACTCTAGCCTCCTGCCCTTTGTCTCACCTGCTGGTGTCCAGCCTTCCAGAAGGAACAGGCAGGGGAGGCAGAAGTGCTGGGACCCCTGGAAGGAAGTAGAACAGGGGCATTCAGCCACATAGAGGGTGGCCCCGGGAGGAGGTGGATCTGAGGTCTGACGTGGGGGAGGAAACCGCTTCTGGCCTGGGGAGGGGCTGGTCCTGCTGGTTTAGGGAGCAACACCCCAAGGGGCGATGCTGGAGGGCAGTGGGGGGCTCGGAGGAGGGCAGGGGTTTCGAAGTCACCTTGCACAAGCTGGTCGGGTGGGCGTCGAGAGGCACCGGCGACCAGCTCTGGGGCATCGCACATTCAGAGCTGGGATGTGGGATGGCCAAGGAGTCCGGGGGAAAGAGAGGGGACCAGAGCGGGTGGGGGTAGGAGGGAAGCGTGGTCAGTGCCCTGGGAAGCTGAGGAGGAAGGTGCCCAATGGCTACCAGTGCCCGAGGGCAGGCAGGGCCTTGCTGGCCAGGGACAAGCCAGAGTGGACAGCACAGGTGGTGTGGGGAGACCCATATTGAGGCTTCTCTGGGACAGGGCCAGAGTGGCGGGGAGTGTGTGTTCCTGAGCTGGGTGCTCTGGGGCCCTGGGGAGACCCTCAGGCTTACTGAGTCACATCTGTCCTCCTGATGTGACCAGACCAAGCAGAGGCCCCACCGGGCTTGTCTGACCAACTCCCCAGAGAGACTATTGGAGGTCCCCAACCCAGCTCCAGGTGACACCTACAGGGGAAGACGGGATTCAGGGGCTCTGAAGGAAGCCCAGAGAGCAGGGGGCAGCGCTCCAAGGGGAGAGAGGAAAGGAGCCTGTGCTGGGGTCCAGTAGGGTATGGCGCATGTGCTGGGGTACAGAGGGTATACTGGGGTACCATGGGCGTGTGCTGGGGAACAGAGGGCGTGTTGGGGTTTAGGGCTCATGCTGGGGTACCATGGGCGTGTGCTGGGGTACCAGGAAGTGCGCTGGCCACTGGCTCTGAGGTCGGAGCGCACTGGTCTATGGAAGCTTCTTCCTGCTGCTCGGCTCCAGGAGTCCAGGTTGTGGCTGGGTGACCCCCTGCACCGGACGCAAGAGAAGAGAGGGGCCCACACCACCCCTGTCTCCTTTGGGGCCCTTCTTGGGCCCTGTGACCGGCAGAGGCCACAGTGGCCGGGGCCGAGGCCCCCAGCCCAGAGCAGGGCAGGGAGGTGCGGGCGCCCAGTCCGAGGCTCCTCCCAAGGGCCCACGACCAGGGCCGGCGCAGACGGCCTCCGCGTCTATGTCGCGTGTACTCTGCCCAGAGCAGCATTTGGGGAACGAGGACGGCTGCAGACGCTTCCTGGAGATGCGGCAGCCGCGCAGGCCCAACAGCCCTGCCCCTGTCAGGGTGAGAGCGGGGCTAACTTCTGCCCCGGCGGGGGGGGTGCCCGGGGCCTCGGTTCACAGCCCCCCCGCCACGTGACGGAGCCCCTGCCCTGGTGGGCAGTGGCTGGGAGGCCAGCAGGAGGACAGGCTGCCTGCCGTGGGATCCCTGGTCCCAGGACCACGCCCGCCTGTCCTGCTGGTTGTCATCACTGGAGTTTCTATGCCGGGGGACCCTGAACCCCCGCCAGGCCAGCGCGCGGGGCAGAGTGGCTCCGGGGGGCCCCTGTGTGAGGCCAAAGCTGTGGCAGCCAGAGGCCCATTGCCCCAGGCCCTGTGTCACCGCGGGGGACCAAATGGCCCTTCCCCACAGCGACTCCCTCACTGACGTGCTGGCTCTGCTGCGGTCCGTCCCAGGACGCTGGGAGCCTGAGCAGGCCTGGGAGCCTGTGGGCGTCGGCGAGCCAGAGGGAGCGAGGGCAGCCGGGGCTGGAGGGGCCCTGTGCTGGCTGCAGGGGAGGTCACGTCTCCCGGCCCCTCTGCGTGACCAACCTGCAGGCTGCAGCAGGTCTCAGGCCGCAGCCACCAGGGGCCATCAGACAGAGCAACGATCAGCTTCCAGAACATTCTGCATAGCTGAGCTGGCATGTTTTGAGCCCGTGCTGAAGGCCACACAGGGTGCATTTAACCCGGGTGAAAGGCTGCCTGTGACAGTCAAGGCTGGGGCCTGTGGGTGTTCACCCTCAGGGCCCGAAGGGCCCTGGTGGGAAGCAGTGGCTGCTGACCGGCCCCTGCTCTGCCCACTGGCTTTGCAAGGGTGGGGCGGGCAGGTCTGCCAGGACCACACAGGTGCATGGATCACTGCCAGGACCACACTGCCCTCCTTGTCCTGCTACGCCCTCTGTCTGTCTGTCTGCCCAGCTCCTGAAGTGCAGGGGTAGCTGGTCCGGCCCCGGGGGAGCCCCCGCTGGCCAGAGCCCCCCATGGCCCTCTCCCCGCCCCCAGGGTCCAGGTGGAGTTCTACGTCAATGAGAACACCTTCAAGGAGCGCCTCAAGCTGTTCTTCATCAAAAACCAGAGATCCAGTGAGCAGGGGCGGGGGGCGGGGCCTGCGGGGGCAGCAGTGTTGGGGGGCAGGAGGGGATGTCACTGAGCCAGGGGGCCTATGCAGGGCAGGGGCTTGGGGCAGAGGAGGGGCTATGTCAGTGAGTGGTGGGTGCAGGGCAGGGTGGGAAGGCCCCTGGTCTCAGCATTAGGCCCTGGAAAATTGTGGGGACCCTGCCCCCTGCTGGACACTGGGCTGGACTCTGGGCCCTCCTACCCGCCCCCTGCAAGCTTCCCTGCTCCCCTCAGTGCAACCCCACCTCCCCCATAGGTTCCCTCACCTGCTTCCCCCGCAGGAGCTTGGCTGCCTCGGACTCTTCCTGGCACACAGGATGGTGGCGGTACCCCCGGGGCCTCACCCGTCCCTGTGCCCCCAAGACTCCCATCCTCCCGTCCGAGGAGTGGGTGGCCCGGGGAGCTGTCTGCACCCCCATCTGTAGGGTGGACAGTAGCAGCGCCCAACCATGCAGAGCGGTCCCTCAGTCCCTGGGGCAGCCCAGCCCAGGGGGGCCCAGGGGGGCCCAGGGGCCCGGGGGACGGGAAGCTGTCAGCAGTGACCGTCACCGCGGGACTCCGGTGGTGCTGGAGCCCTGACGGCCCCTCCCCTGCAGGCCTGAGGATCCGGCTGTTCAACTTCTCGCTGAAGCTGCTCACCTGCCTGCTGTACATTGTCCGCGTGCTCCTCGACGACCCGGCCCTGGGGATCGGATGGTGGGTGACGCGGGGGCGGCCGCTGTTCAGGGCCGAGGCCGTGGGGGTCTGCGTGGGGTGTGCGCCGGTGTCCAGCCCAGATCGGCCCCTCGGGGACTCCTGCCTTCCCTGTGTCCTCACTCAGGGTCCTGCTGACCAACGGGCTCAGCCCAGGGACAAGGGCGCCCCGGCCGTGGACGGTGGCCGGCTGTGCCTCCAGCGGAGCACGGGAGGGGCTCGGCCAGCGGCTCGGTGCCAGCTTCGGCCGGGGAGGGGGCAGGACACAAGCCGGCCCGGGGCTACACATGGTGCCATGACTCCTCCTGGGCCCCTGTCCCTGGCAGGGGGCACCCGCCGCGCCCCCAGGTCTGGGCTGTCACGCAGGCTCACGGATGCCTCGCGTGGCCTTGCTGCTTCAGGTTCTGCTGGTCGCCCTTAGGGGACGCCCGCTTTTCTCGCCGGCCGGCTGGCGGGATCCTGTCTCTGTGCCTGGCAGTCTCAGGGACACCTCGGGTGGCCCCTTCTCTCCCACGCCGGACTGGGGGACAGGGCCCTGGAAGAGGACACCCTTCCCCTCCTCTGCCGTCCCTGGGCTTCCGACGCCCGGGCGTGCGGCTCTGGACGATCCTGTGTCCCCCGCGTCTCCTCCGGGGCGACTTTCTGAGCTTCGTCTCCAGCCCGGCCCGTCTCCCCGCGTCGGGCCCCGATTCCCGGAGGTCCCCTTGCTTTGGGCAGGCGCAGCCTTCCCGCTTCTCCTGAGGTGGCGTCTGGAACCGGGCTCTTGCTTGTGGTTTTCTCTTTGGCTCTGTCTCTGCTTCTTCCCAGCTCGCGCTGAGTGAGTGTCCGCAGCGCCACGCGAGGGCCGCAGAGCCGGGTTGGGAGGGCTCAGCACTGTCTCCGCGTGGACGGGCTCCCTCCGCAGAGCCAGAGCCCGTCTTCCTGCCTCTTCCCTGAGGGTAGGGCGCGGCCACCGGGCTCCCAGGCCGAGCCAGGGAGGAAGCTGGGACCCAAGGACAGGGCAAGCTGCCCTTCACCCCTGTCTGCCCTGGGCCTGGTGTCCCCAAGCCACACACTCTTTCAACTCCCTTGGAACCCCTCCTGCCTTCACCCCGGGGGGCTGCACAGATCTGGCCGTCGGGGTTTGAGGAGAAAACTGAGGGCTCTGACTCTCAAACCGCTTTCCTGAGTCCATGTCACCTTCTCCCATCCCCGGCGCACCCTGAGGCATCTGGTTCCACAACCCTACAGGGCCCAGGTCTATTATATTCATTGTCCAGTGCCCAGCACGTGGCTGGGCAGGGAGGGAGGGCAAAGGGATGGAGGAGGGGCCGGTGGAGGGATGGGGGGACGGGTGGGTAGGGGAGTGGATGAATGAGTTATGAACGAGTGTGTGGCTGCTGGATGGACGGATAGATGGATGAGTGAATTACAGAGAGTAGATGGAGGGATGGTGGTTAGATGGATGGTGGACGGTGGATGATGGTTGGGTGGCTGGGTGGATGGATGGAGGGTAGATGGGTAGTGGTGGGGGTGGGGGTGGGCGGACAGCCAGCCGCATCTCTGAGCGCTGAGTTTGCAACACCAGCCCCAATAGGGCTCAGGGAAAGAGGGTCAGTTGGAAGAAAAGGAAGAGGGAGCTGCCTGTCACCATGGGGCTCTGTGAGAGCGAGGTCCCCTCGGTGGAGGCCCCTGGCGTTGGTTACATCCTGGGGCAGAATGAGCAGGCCTGCCATGCCCCTCCCCCTCCCCAGGGGCTGGGCATCCAGCTGCCCTAGAGAGCTTTGTTCCTGGGAGTGACCCAGAGACGTGCAGTCTTGGAGTCAGCACCTCAGGGTGGGAGCTCGCTGTCTGTCCCCCGTCTCTCATGCATCGTCCCGCCATGTGTGTGGCAGCTCCGGACTCCGGGAGCCTCCACGCTCCATCTCCGACCCGCCCCAGCACCCTCCTGTCAGACCAGGCCGAAGCCCCAGCTCTTCCCTGGGCTCCGCCGTCCCTGTCCCAGCTCGGTGTGCTTTCCCACCCGCTGGCCTGGGGGTCCACGGGCCCTGGGTGGGGTGCGGAGGGCGGTGCCATGGCGTGCTCCTGCGCCCGCGGCAACCTTGGGAAGCGTGTCTTCGGGGCCTTGGCTGGGCCAGCTCTCTCTCTCCACAGCTGGGGCTGCCCAAAGCAGAATTACACCTTCAACAGCTCATCCTCTGAGATCAACTGGTGAGTCCCCTGGCCCAGCCCCTCGGCTGGTGCGTGGCCTTGGCCCGTGAGCTGGGCGGCACCAGGGTGCCCCTGGAGAGCCCCTAAGCCTCGGGGGCAGCGTTAGACCTAGAGGCACCACCATGTGACTTGACTCAGCAGCCCCCCACTCCAGCTCAGCCCGCAGACGGCGGCGGGGTGGGGGGCAGCAGCAGGGAGGGTCCTGAGTGAGTCGGGGCTGCTCCCCTGTGTGGCACCTTCACCCAAGGAGAGCCGTGGCCCCAGAGCGACCATGATGCCTGGTTCAGAGTTTAGGATGCGTCCCCCAGGGCTCGGCCACCTCCTGGGTAGAGGGGCTTCTGGCCTCCCACTCACTCAGTTTGTCCCCTCCCCCGCTGGACTGTACCCCCCGGAGCAGGGGAGGAAGGGAGCCCCGGGCTCAGTGAGCCCCAGGGAGCCTGTCCAGGGTGAAGGGCCCCCCCGAGCCTGCAGCCCTACCCCACGTCCCCTGCTTCAGGCCTGGCCTCCTCTCCTGGGGAGCCTCTCCTTTCCCTCCTGTTCTTGTCCCCTCTGGGGGCAAGGCTGGTGCCCTCCATCCTCCCAAGGAGCAGCTCAGGTCACCAGAGGTCCGGGGGGTTGGGGGACAACAGCCCAAGGCTCACCTCCCTCCCTCCCCAGGGCGCCCATCCTTTGGGTGGAAAGAAAGATGACTCTGTGGGCGATTCAGGTGAGTGGGGGGCGTGGCTCCGGGTGGGCCCTGCTCCCCCCAGCCCCACTCAGGCTCCGTCCCTCCTAGGTCATCGTGGCCATAATAAGCTTCCTGGAGACAATGCTCCTCATTTACCTCAGCTACAAAGTGAGTACCCCCACCTCGCTTGACCCTCCCCTCTGACCCCCCACCCCACTCCTGGCCGGCTTGTCCCCCCCACCCCGTTTCCTGACCTCCTGGCTGGTTTGTGTCTCTCTTCTGCCACCATGGCGCCCAGGGGAACATCTGGGAGCAGATCTTCCGCGTCTCTTTTATCCTGGAGATGATCAACACGCTGCCCTTCATCGTGACGGTAGGTGAGCACCAGACGAGCGGGGGGCCCCCCAGCGCCAGCCCCCTGACCCGTCTCCTCCACAGATATTCTGGGCGCCCCTGAGGAACCTGTTCATCCCCGTGTTTCTGAACTGCTGGCTGGCCAAGCACGCCCTGGAAAACATGATCGTAAGCCGAGGGCCACACAGCGACCAGCCTCCCCGGGTGTGAACCCCCCAGGACGCCCCTGGCCTGGCAGGGAGCTGGCCACCGTCCCTCCGTGCCCAGGGGGCCGAGCTGAGGCTCAGCAGCACGCCACCTCTGTCACGGCGGAAGGCCCGTCTCGGCCCTCCGGTCTCTGTCCCCACCGGGACCCACGGTGGCCTCCTGCTGCAGCTGAGGTCCAGCCCCAAGCTTTGCCTGCAGCTGCAGGAGGAGGGGTGGGAGCCAACGGGACACGCGGACCGGGCCCACGTGACCCAGACCCACGGACAGACCCTCTGTCGAGTGTCTGGCCAAAACCCCTTTCCCGAGCGGTCAGCCAGCAGCGGGACACGGGCTCCCCCCGGGGCGGCCGTCCCCCCCAGGGCTCACCCCCATCCTCACTGAAGCCGGCCCTTCCGGTCTGTGCCCCCGGTAGCCCCCCTCTGCGGGGAACGTGAGGGGCCGCCGAGAGCAGGTGTCCCGCAGGGGGGCCCGGGCCGCCGACACACCCCCTCGCTCGCTCCCGAGCCCTGGGACACCCGGCAGGAAGGGCCCCAGCTCCGGGGCAGGTCCCAGGCTGTGGCCCTGACCGGCCGGCGTCCCGCAGAACGACTTCCACCGCGCCATCCTGCGCACGCAGTCGGCCATGTTCAACCAAGTGCTCATCCTGTTCTGCACCCTGCTGTGCCTGGTGTTCACAGGGTGAGTGCGCCCTGCAGGGGTCCGCCACCCTCGCCTGCGTGTCCAGGAGGTCAGGGAGGCCTCGAGGGGGCGGTTGGCAGTCCGGCCCAGGGCCGGGGGGTGGCTCAGAGCCCACACTCGCAGCCGGCGGGGGCCTGAGTCCAGCTCCTCTAGGAGGAGGCTGGGGATGCGCCCTGCCTGGTGCTGGTGAAGCTGGTCACCACCTCCTGTGCCTCGGGCAAGGATGCAGGACAGGCACCAAGGCCTGGGAAAGAGAGAAGGAGGGCCACAGGCTTCCTGGCCGCTCCCCCCCGCCGCCCTCCCAACACACACACAGTCCAGCAGAGCTGGGGGCTCAACCTGATCTCTCCCTGTGCCTGTCCCCCTGGGGGACGGTCTCTGAGCCCCTCTTTGTGCTGAGCACCCCATGGTGGGTGCTGTGGGCCCCCCAGGCCCTGCCAGCAGCACCTTCCGTCTGGGGACTGGGCCTTGGGGTCACAGGCAGGGGAAGCAGGGCTGTCCAGCTGGGCCCAGGAGGGGCTGAACAATCCCCGCACCTCATCTGACCTCCTGGGTGAGGAGGCTGGCAGATGGGGTGGCGTGTGGGGGCTCACAGCTGGGGCACGCCCACCCCCACGGGCCCCCAGGCCCACATTCAGCCAGTGCCCGAACTTTGGGGTGCATTTTCCAGGGGCCTCAAAAGAGCCGTGGGCCGGAAAGGGAATGTCTGGGGGAAATCCGACGGGCGGGGTTGTGCAGGCTCTGGCAGACCGCTGGCGGGGTGGTGGTGGGGG